ATTCTTTTGCTGAACCCTTAACTGGACTACAGTATAGCAGAAGACACAGTTTTAACTCCATCAGTACTGTGCTTGCATTTGAGTTCAGATTGTGTTAACAGAAATGGAATTTTTCTTTTTGCGATGGGGAAGCGAAAATTGCTGGAATTAACTGTAGAAAATGTTATTGAGGCTGGGGTGTAATGTGCAATGCATGGGAGTGGGCTTCAAAAGATTATTATTAATACTATTGTCGTTAATTCTTAATTTAAGTAAGCCTACAGCAGTTAGTGTATGTAAGTAAATAGACCATATTGTCATTAGACCACAATCGATATTTATCTTTCCCTCTATCTTGGACACCTCTATAAGTTGGACACATTTTCGTGGAACCACAAGTGTCCAACTTAGAGAGGTTTTACTGTATATTTTTTTCAGGAACTTCAAATTTTCTGTCGTACAGACATTCGTCAAGATTAATCTGCGGGTCATCAGCGTTACTGGCCTTCATTGTTAGGTCTGTATTGCTTAGGTAATGTAAGTTTGCTGTCCAACAAAAAGGTAGAAATTTTTAGTTATAAAAACAAATCATGGCCGCTTTATTTCATACACTTCCCAATTTATTATTTAAGCCCTCAGTTATCCAATTTAACGCTCTCGTCTGTCTCACGACAGACTGTTGCCGGGCTCATGTGAACACGAAATTGAACCTTCAGGGCGGGAATTTCTTGACTTGCTGAGCATCTCAACAAGGACTCTGCTGCATGTACAGGGTTATTCATAATTCCCTGACACATTACAAAAAATCGCTAGACTTCAATAGTGCAATGGATGTTAACATAGGACATGCCGATAGAAAGAGAAACTCTCCAAGTTTATTTTACATACCTCATAAATGCTCAACTTTGTAGCAAGTTTACATACATACAAGCAAGGTACATATAGAAACTGACAACAATAAGTAACCATTATGGTGAACAAGTGCATGAAAATGCAGATAATTTGTTAAAATTCGCAACAACAACAAAAAAATTTTTCTCTCTCTTAAGATTCATCTTATGTACTCTGTTACATCAGTGATAATTATTGTTGTTTCAGCAGCTCACCATACATATTTCGACCTGATTATTGGTTGGTGTGGAGGAGTAAATCGACCTGCAATAAAGCACATGTCCAATAAATTTAAAACTGCATACAAAAAGCCTTTTTAAAAATGTTTTCCAGAAAACAGGAAATTGCAAAAAGAAAGACAAATACATTTTGCTGTTGTGTGCCCAAACAATTTTATACAAATACATAAATTTGTGTTGCAATAAGGTGTGTTATATTTTACAGACAATGTTTGTAATAAAATGTAAATGTTTAGAACAATTTTCTCGTCAGAAACGAAGGATAAAGTAAAATACAACCGTCATAAAATTAAGCATGCATTACCGACAAAGGGCTGGAGCGTTTGTGTTAGCCCGGCCAACACTTTGAAGAGCGAAAAGCAAAGTCATCATTTCGTGGTTAATTGGATCTCCATACACTGGAACGCAGAAAACCGATCAGATATAATGCACCTTTAGCAGCCCCAGTCATCTAGTCGCTGTTACCCACATTGTCCTGGTTTAATATGGGCCTGCTAATCGCGGAACCACGTTTATAGAAGTCACTATCCAGTGGTCGAGTTGCGGGCTGAAGGGTGTGTATGATCTTCCTAGTTAAGATGTTAGACAAACCTCGACTGGTAACATATCACTTGTTTGCGTGTTGGACGGGAACGTAAAATAAACTTGGAGAGTTTCTCTTTCTGTCGGCATGTCGCATGTTACCATCCTTTGCGTCATTTAAGTCTGGCAATTTTTTGTAATGTGTCAGGGAATTATGAATTATCCTGTATTTTCAAATCGTCGTGTTGAATTGAAGTATAGACTGTCGTGAAAAGAGGTAAGGTTAGTTGGTTCCTGCTAACATATTTTTTCTTTGTTTACATTTGCTTCCCCTCATATTCCTTTTCTTTATTCATTTTCAGCCAATATTTGCATAGCTGTTTTGTACAATGTAGGCCTGTATACTCAATTGCCACAATTTTCACCCCTCCCCTCGCTTTGAGGTTTGGCTAACACTAGACAAATTCACTCTCCTCCACTGACATAAAATAAAATAGCTAATACTTGCAATATTTTTAGTCTGATACATTAATAGATTTTTATAAATTTGTGAAAGATAATTCAAATATAGTTGTTGTATAAATAGAGGTCATACCTGTAAAGAAAACTGATTGTGGTAGTTTACTGTCAATCTTAATCGCAGTCTTCCGTTTTCGATAGTGAAATTTTGATACATTTGGTTTAGACAGTTGTGAAGTCGTACACATCGTGCGATAGCAATGCAGGCAGCAATTGTAGAAGAGGCGAAACAGTGCATCCATAACTTCTACCAACATTAGCAACGTAATTCCCAAGTACAAGCTGAGTGCACCACCCAAAGAACCCACAAATGTTTGCACCTATAAGAAAACATTTCATGATTCTTTAATTTATTTAACAATTTTCTGAACAATTGAAATTACTGTCACATCTGGAAATCAAACTTTTTTCTGGAGCATATAATTTTTAATGCTAAATTTGTGCTGTAGGGCCCTACCATGAGGATGTGTTTGGAAGTTAAGTCCCACACACTCTCAAGTCATTTAGTACATGGGAAGTGTTGAATTGTCAGCTCCAAATTTTGTCAATCACAGTGTCTAGTGAATGCATCCCTTGTGTACATTAGACCAGGGATAAATTGATCCTTAAGGTTGTATGTACTGATCAATATAAACATTTAGTTACATGGTCATTTTCCTGATAAATAATTATGGATATTTAGAAAGAAGCTAAGATAAATGTCTGGGGCTCTGCGAGATGAACTGGTAATACAAATACTAGATTATGATTAATTTTACTATTTACTTTCTTCTGGGTTAGTTGGGGAAATTAAATCAAGGGCTGAATAGGGAAAACAAGAAGTAAGTGCAAATCTGAATGGAGAAACCTTCATGAAGGAAGTCTTTCAGATGACCAAAAGTAGCTAAGAAAATATTGTTAAAACTTATCTTAAAGATATGAGTTGTTAGAATGTAAACAATATTAACTGTCTTGGAATTTGGTTTCAGTGGCAGGTTCTGGTTTGAACCATTTGGTTCCATCACCGGAAAGTTATGTGGTTACAAAAGTTCAGATAATTCAGTTGGATATTATAGCCTGATGATGGAAGCAGCAAGCACCCGTGAAACATCAGTATACTTCAACCAGACTATCCCAAAAGTTCGTCATCTTTATACTCACTGCCATGAAACCTTGAACTCTCATCTATTCAAGTTGTGTGTGGATTCTGTAAGGTAATTGTAACTGAGAGAATATCCAATAAGTCATGCAATATTAATAAAACAAAATGTCTCTTGAAAATGGCTTATGAGTACATTACAAAATTGCATGCTAATTAAATGGCTAAATGTCCGACATTAAACATAGGAGTTGAAGTCTGGCCAGAATCTACGAGGATGAGTCAAATGAAAACCGTAAAACAATTTTTAAATATAATTTATGAATGAAGGCGGTACACAATTATATCATTTTTCTACATAGTCTCCAGCGTTTACGTAGTGTATGTATTCCTCTAGAAAAAAATTCTTGTGGTTGTCTGCTGTACCTCTTCATCAGAACGGAACTTCTTTCCTCCCATCGCCTCTTTGGGTGGCCCAAACATGTGGTAATCACTTGGATCTAGGTATGGTGCAATAGACTCAGGGGTCACAACTCTGTGCGCCTGACCCGGGCGAGGAGCGTCTGCCACAGACGTCACACCATTTCTGAATTTCCTACTCCACTCGTACACTTTCTGCTGTGACAAGCATGCATCACCATACTGAACCTTCATCCGTCGATGAATTTCAGTCGGTTTCACACCTTCACTGATAAAAAAACGAATTACAGAACGTTGTTCTTCCTTCGTGCACGCAAATAGTGGAGCAGCCATCTTCAAACTGGCACTGTGGTGGCATTCTGTTTGTCTGCATTATATTGCCACCTATAGGATACTCTTTATAGCATTGGTAACATGTCTGCCAACTTATAGGACAATGGCGCGATATTTCGAATTTTTATCTCAGTTTTACGGTTTTCATTTGACTCACCCTCGTATATAGTACAGGGTTTTAAATCCCCTGTTTTGGTATGATAAGTTTAAATTTTAAAAATATATTATGAGTATGAAGATTTCTGTCATCTGGGTTGTTGCGCTGTGTAGTCTGGTCAATGTTAACCAACGTTTCAGAGGTCATACTGCCTCCGTCATCAGGGCGATGAATGACCTCTGAAACGTTGGTTAACATTGACCAGACTACACAGCGCAACAACCCAGAAGACCGAAATCTTCAAGTTTAAATTCCTTTTAATGCATCATATAATGTTGATAATGAACACAGACATCTGTTGTCAACAATTGCTATGCAGTTTCTGACTGGAATAAATGAACCAACCTGGTTAATGGCTAAATTCAGATTACAAGCAGTGTAGTGGATTTAGACTGCAATTGGATGACTGCAAGTGTGTTAAAGTATAAAATAACAGGCTAACTTGTCATTTTTTCACTTTTGGTGACAATGTTAGCACTTATAGGTCCATTCCATTAGTAGCCCACAGTTAGTGAAATCTCTATTATGTATACATGACAAGAAATAAAAATTATTGTCAGTAGTATAAGGTTCCTTCAGAACAAGTCCATTATTTCTGTAACCTCTTACAGAGAGCATCGACGGCTACAAGAAAATGCATGCATGCTTACATATTCTGCCAGTCTTACCTTCTTTTATTTTATCATTCTAATACTATTTGGTGGAGAAACATTTATTACAAACAAAGCTTAATTTGTTACCAATAAACCTCTTCATTAACCTCCTTATATAATCACTCTATTTAAAACTCTGTCTTTTTGATATGCCATATGTGGTTTTTCCCGGTCATGAAAACTAGCAATGGCTGGGGGTTCGTCGTGCTGACCACACGTCACTCTGTATCTGGTTGGATGATCGTTCACCTCTGTTTAGGCATGTGAACATGAGGCCAGCAGTCAAGCTAGTCGGCTTTGGCTCTCTGGAGCTGTTACGCCACAGATCATTACATGCGGTTTTTCATTAAACAGTCATAAATTATTAACTACCTTTCTTTTATAGTGGATAAGAAATTTTATGGCTGGTTAACTATGTGTTTAAAGTTGACTCAACCATACTGATTATACATGGCTGTAAACACAACATCTAAATTGTCCTGTATTGAATCTTGGTTATGGTATTTCCACCATGAAAAATGTATCAAAATCACAGTATCACCATATCGCTGTTCCAGCATTTTGTGTGTGAGAATGGACTACACTGCTTGAAGCTGATGTTGGAAATAAAAACACAGAGGTTTTACATGATGAACC